ACTGCTATCATTTTCTTTTTCTTGTACTTTATCTTCAGTAACTATCATGTCTCTACTAATTATCACCTTGTGAGATCCCACAGGCGGTACCCCTTGACTCCATCAGCATACCCTAAGAAAATACATTTTTTGGATTTTGGATCCGGCTTTGATGTTTCTTGGGCATTGTACATAACATATACAGGACTTCCAAATGTATGTANATATCATGTCTCTACTAATTATCACCTTGTGAGATCCCACAGGCGGTACCCCTTGACTCCATCAACATACCCTAAGAAAATACATTTTTTGGATTTTGGATCCAGCTTTGATGTTTCTTGGGCATTGTACATAACATATACAGGACTTCCAAATGTATGTAAGCGAGAATAATCAACTAGCTTACCAGTCCACATCACCATTGGTAACTTTAGATCATTTGCGGTTGATGGTGACCTATTGATCACATAACATGTAGTCTTGACTGCTTCTACTCAAAATGACTTGGCCATCCTTGCAGTTCTCAACATTGCTCTTGTTCGTTCTAACAANACCATTGGTAACTTTAGATCATTTGCAGTTGATGGTGACCTATTGATCACATAACATGTAGTCTTGACTGCTTCTATTCAAAATGACTTGGCCATCCTTGCAGTTCTCAACATTGCTCTTGTTCGTTCTAACAAGGTTCTATTGATCCGCTCTGCTACTCCATTTTGTTGTGGAGTGTACACCACCGTGAACTGCCTCTTGATACCTTCTTGTTGACAGAAGCTTTCAAATTCATCACTGGTATNAAGGTTCTATTGATCCGCTCTGCTACTCCATTTTGTTGTGGAGTGTACACCACCGTGAACTGCCTCTTGATACCTTCTTGTTGACAGAAGCTTTCAAATTCATCACTGGTATATTCTCCTCCATTGTCTATCCTCAAGCACTTGATCTTCTTTTCGGATTCAAGTTCCACCCACGCTTTGAATATTTTGAAAACTGAAAATACGTTTGCCTTCCTCTTGATTGGATACACCCAACATCTCTTGGACTAATCATCAACAAAAGACAAATTATCTTTCACCTCCTAGGGACATAACTGGTGCTTGCCAAACATCGGAATGGATCAGTTCTAAGATAGCTTCGCTTCTAGTACTAGAACTGCTGAACTTTAATATGTGCTGCTTACTAGTAACACAATGCTCACAAAAGGGTAATGACACCTTTTTGAGTCCTGGAAGAAGCTTTTGTTCAGTGAGAATCCTCAAACCACGTTCCGACATGTGGCCAAGCTTGCGGTGCCACATCATTGTCAATTCTTCTGCCGAACTTGCTAATGCAATAGGCACCTCTCCTTCTTGTTGTGTTTCTCCTTTAAGCATGTACAAATTTGCAGTTATCTTTTCCGCTTTTATCACCACAAGCGCTCCTTTTATTAGCTTCATGATCCTATTTTGAACATGGGTCTTGCACCCACTATTATCTAACTATCCCAAAGACAATAGATTTTTCCTTAGACCTTTCACATATTGTACCTCCTGGATGGTGCGAACTGTACCATCATACATTTTCAATTTGATGGTACCGATACCAGCAATCTCCAAGGCATGATCGTCTCCCATGAACACAGATCCTCCTGAGATAGATTCATATTGGTGAAACCATTTTCTCCGTGGGGTCATATGCCATGTAGCTCCTGAGTCCATAAGCCAGACATTATCAAATTTTATTTTGCCTTTAGAAACTGTTGTTGCCTCGCTGTATAAAATTTCACCATCATCTAAGGTGCTTGCCAAAAAACCCTGGGCTTTAANTAGAAACTGTTGTTGCCTCGCTGTATAAAATTTCACCATCATCTAAGGTGCTTGCCAAAAAACCCTGGGCTTTAATGACTTAGGACCTTTTTCTTTGGCTTCTTTGTTCTTCTTGAGGTGCCAACACTCCCTTTTGTAGTGTCCTTTCTTGCCACAATGATGACACTTGACATTCTTCTTACTTCTAGATTTTGATCTACTATGATTTTGAATCCCACTGGGGCCATGTTCCGTTGATCTCCCTTTCATCATTGTCAAAGCTTCGGCTTGCTGTGAGCCTCCCAGTCTATCTTCTTTGCTCTCGTGCCAACTTTCTTCTTTAAGAACCGCAACTGCAATATCATCAAAGACTACTATTTCTAGAGTGTTTGTTAAGTTGATGATGAGTTGATCATAGGAATTAGGTAGACTTTGAAGTAGAATTTTGGCAAATTCACCCGTCTCTATGTTATGCCCCATTGTTGTGAGCTGTGAAAATAAAGTGTTGAGGGTGTTGATGTGGTCGGTCACCGAAGTTGACTCCATCATCCGAAGGGTGTAAAGCCTTCTCTTCAAGAAGATTTTGTTGTGTAGTGATTTGGCCTCGTACAATTTTGTCAGCGTTTCCCATATCTCTTTTATTGTCTTTTTCTCTGCCACGCTTGACAATACTACAACGACTAGTGCTAGAGGTAGATTAGCAATAGCATTGCCATCCATCTCATTCCACTTGCCATCGTCAAGAATCTCATCGGGCCTATCTCCAATTGCCGCCAAGCAGTTACCTTTTCTCAAAATTGCTTTTATTCTCAGTTCCCACAATGAGAAATTAGTCCCATTGAACTTTTCTATTGTGTACTTTGTCGCCATTGTTGAAGATGCCTCTTTTACACTAACTAGATCTGACAATAGCACAAAAACCCAGCTATAAACCTCGCTCTGATACCACTGTTAGGAAGTNGTCCCATTGAACTTTTCTATTGTGTACTTTGTCGCCATTTTTGAAGATGGCTCTTTTACACTAACTAGATCTGACAATAGCACAAAAACCCAGCTATAAACCTCGCTCTGATACCACTGTTAGGAAGTTGTGAGTACGGGCATACAATTACAACTAAAGTAGTAACTATAAAAAATGAGAATTTTGTAAAAAGNGTGGGGTCGTATGCCATGTAGCTCTTGAGTCCATAAGTCAAACATCATCAAATTTTCTTCTGCCTTTAGAAACTGTTGTTGCCTTGTTGTATAAAATTTCACCATTATCTGAGGTGCTCGCCACACAACCCTGAGCTTTTAATGACTCAGGACCTTTCCTTTGGCTTCTTCGTTCTTCTTGAGGTGCCAACACTCCCTTTTGTAGTGTCCTTTCTTGCCACAATGATGACACTTGACATTCTTCTTACTTATGGATTGTGATCTACTCTGATTTTGACTCCCACTGGGGCCACGTTCCATTGATCTCCCTCTCGTCATTGTCAACTTTGGCTTGCTGTGAGACTCCCAATCTATCTTCTTTGCTCTTGTGCCGACTTTCTTCTTCAAGAACCACAGCTGCAATATCATCAAAGACTACTATTTCTAGTGTGTTTGTTAAGTTGATGATGAGTTGATCATAGGAATCAGGTAGATTTTGAAGTAGAATTTCAGCACGTTCACCCGTCTCTATGTTATGCCCCATTGTTGTGAGCTGTGAAAATAAAGTGTTGAGAGTGTTGATGTGGTCGATCACCGAAGTTGACTCCATCATCCGAAGGGTGTAAAGCCTTCTCTTCAAGAAGATTTTGTTGTGTAGTGATTTGGCCTCGTACAATCTTGTTAGCGTATCCCATATCTCTTTTGTCGTCTTTTTCTTCGCCACACTTGACAACACTCCATCGGCAAGTGCTAGATGCAGATTAGCAATAGCATTGCCATCCATCTTGTTCCACTTGCCGTCGTCAAGAATCTCACCGGGCCTATCTCCAATTTCCGCCAAGCAGTTATCTTTTCTCAAAACTGCTTTTATTCTCATTTTCCACAATGAGAAATTATTCCCATTGAACTTTTTTATTTTCTACTTTGTCGCAATTCTTGAAGATGCCTCTTTTCTACTAACTAGATCTGACAGTAGCACAAAAAACCCGGCTATAAACCTCGCTCTGATACCACTGTTAGGAAGTTGTGAATACAGACACACAATTACAACTGAAACAGTAACTATAAAAAATGAGAATTTTGTAAAAAAATAACAAAAGGATTTACAATAACTTCTCTCTAATAAAGGAAAGACTATGAGTATTTAGGAGAACCCTCACTCTTTCTCTCTAACACTCTCTCTTGTTCTCTCTCTTTGTTTCTTCTCTAAATGAGACACACAATGACTCAAAACACTTCGCAAATTTATAGGACTCTCCTATCATGTACCTAGACAAGTACGCAATCTAAGATAATAAATAAATTCATGAATGATTATTAGACTCCATACATGAATGTCTCTTAGACTTCATAAATGAATGTTACTAATGACTCCATGCATGAATACATGCACCAAACCACTTAATTTAAGAAGTAGTTACTTCTTTGACCAAAATGACTTTATTGACAACATTAATCATATTCCTTCAAAAGGAATTTGAAAACTTTAGATGTGAGAACTCATCATTTTACCATGTGTCAAAAATTATGAGTTCATGAAAGCCGTTTTTAGACAAATTTTATCATTTAAGCACGCAAATCAACACTTTGTAAGCAATTTATAGTGCTTAAAACAAAAAAAGTTGATTCTATAACCCAAAATAGAAAATCAATAAATGATATAAGCCAAACTTGAAATACTAATGGAAAGCATTGGATGTACTTTCTAATTCAAAGCTTGCCACCATGTTTCCGTGGCATGCTTGAATTCCCTTCTCCATTCATCTTTGCTGGTTGTAGCAATGCAAACCAGATGGAAATTGTCAAAGCCACGAAAATGTAGATCCCATACAGCAAAAACTAGATATTTTTTCACTTCGGTAACTTTCATTAATTCCAAATCCATCATTTAAGTCGTCAAATCAATAACTTGTATCTAACTTTTTTTGCTTAAAATTAATAAAATGATCGTTCAACCCCAAACCTTGAGGAAAAACCAATTAGAGACGTAACCCGATCTTAAAACACTTGTGGAAAACATTCGATTTACTTTTAAATTTAAAGCATGAAAGACAAAACATTGTCCACATTCATTAGTTTTCATAAAGACTTTTGCCAAGGTTACTTCCCCTGTTCAAACTCTAACCAAACACAAACAAGCTTCTCACCATCTTTCCGTGGCATGTTTGAATTCCCTTCTCCATTCATCTTGCTTGTGTGCAGCCTTGAAAACCTGATAGAAATTGATGGGCCATTATCCAAAAAAAAAAAAAAAATCTAAAACAGCAAAAACTACATAATCTCCAAACATAATTTCACTTTCAAGTTCATTCTTTTTGGTAAACTGTACTTCCAATTCAACTGTAAACATTAGCAAGAAAAGTGCAGAGGCAAATTCCCATGACTTATTTGGAAGAAACAAAAATCACATATGCGAGCATAATCTTTTCAAAAAAAAATATTTTAATCCTCCCAACTATGACCTCAATCTCACTATACACTGCCTCAAAAGCAAGCGTAGGTTATCTTTTGATGCAAAATGTGCACTTGTCGAGGAAAAGTAACAAAATCACACAATTTGTGGGCAAAGAAAAAGAACTTTTCATCCAATTTGTAACAAACATTAATTATTAGGAAAATATAAAACAAATAACCATAGTTAAAGTGTAATATAAGAAATATATAATAATTGAGAAAGCTATATGCAATCAAGATCATAGTTGAAAATGTCCTGAGTGTAATTTGCCATAATCTTTCCCTTTTATCAAAGTAGCACAATAGCTGGAATTTTATACTAATGGGAAAGAATACAAAAAAGAAGCAACATGACTGATTAGACTCTCTTAAATATTTCAAAGGAGTGGGCAGCTCCACCAAACCCCATTGCCATTCCATTTACTGAATTTTCACCTATATGGGGAGTAGATTCACACAACAAACATAGTAATATTTGTCACAGGATTGAGAAAACGTCTTTCAACCCCCCGATGAGGATGAGGTTAAGGTGAGAATTGATTGGCCGAAATAGCGATCTCATACTTTGCGCAAGCAGAGACGGGTCTTGTAGCTGATCCTTTGTTTGGAAAGGACTTAACCAAAGGCCCTTTTAAGCCCCCATCAAGTGATAAGATGAGGATTGTGGATAAGCTCCAATGGAGGCCCCTCTTATAACACTGCTTAGTGATGAGGAGGGAGTATTAACATGTACATCAACATCAAACATCAACCAGTAATATCATGAACAAGACGAAGAAATGTAATTTCATTGCTATTCAAGTTTATTCTTAATGTGCCCCGCATACAATTATTCTACAGTTTATCGAAGCCTTGGGTGAATTAGTCAGACTCACTGCAGGTATTGGTTAATCTCAGACCTGAAACATTCTTCTTCTTCTTCTTCAGGTTCTCGTTTCTACTTCTTCAAAGCCGGCTCTTCATTGACAGATTCCAACATATCCATCACCAGGTAAAGAATTAACGGGCGTCTGCCCCTGCAGGCTCATCCTTTGAAAGGATAGGTCCATGCTAAGAAATTCCCATGTTGAAGAAGATGTTCATTCATCTCCTACAACCGAATAAAGTAAAGAACTCTTGGTCTCTTCTAGCTGCATAATTTCACAGTACATGCTACAGCTTGTGCCCAATATTTGAGTCTCGCTTTCACGTCTTCAGGGTGGTCACCTAAGGCAGTGAAAATGAAACAGAAAGTTAGAACATGTTTCATACCCCCTTTAATGGCCACCACAGATTGGTGAGGGATGTATCTTGGTATTTTTGTTTTTAACATAATTAAACTACGATTTAAAGATTCTCTAGCTCATGTAACAACGCTCTTTCGATCAAATCTAAGCAGTCAAAATTAAAGATGAGACAAGCATGTGAATTTTGAAACCAAATGACCAATTATTTTGTTCTATTTCCAGATCATCCTCTGTCAATAAGAACCTAGCTCACCATTCTTTCTACAAACACATTACTCAGATCATATAACAACTGAACCCAAATCTACTTTTACATAAAAAAAAAATAACCCATAAACCACCTTCAACAGAACATAAAAGCTATAAAAAAATCAAAGTCAAAATGTGGTTCAAATTTTCCAGATCAAATTCTCCATTATACATAAAAACCATTTCATTTTTCCATCTATATCCATCACCATGAACAGCCAATATGGCAGTCATAAACATTTCTAACACCTAAGATCAAAAGACCCCTTAGACACCCTAAGGAGGCAATAGGCCTGTCATCAACAGAATTTATTCCAAAAAAAATACCCATGGCAAAACATCATTAACAAACAGATCCACCATACAAGATTCCCCCACACCAGCCCCAATCAACAAGAAAAAAAAATTCTTGGAAGAACTAATGCAATTTCCAGCTTCAAAAAGGAANATACCCAAGGCAAAACATCATTAACAAACAGATCCACCATACAAGATTCCCCCACACCAGCCCAAACAACAAGAAAAAAAAATTCTTGGAAGAACTAATGCAATTTCCAGCTTCAAAAAGGAAAACAAATCTCTAAGATTTTCCAAGAAAATTGACTCTCTTGTAACGAAAGAAATACTTTCAGACTGCACAAAGCTTTCACAAGAAAACCAAATTTTCTACCGAACAACATTAGCATCCAAAAATCAAGAATTTAAAAAAAAAATAACTATCTTGCAAGGAAACAAAACACTTAAAATTCAAATTCTCCAAAAGACTCACAAGGACTAGATACCTTAGCATACCATTTTCACAACCTAAAACCAAGAATTTCCAAGAAAAATGACTGTCTTCCAATGAACAAAAAACTTGCAATTTGCGCAATAAATGTATCATATTGCAGAAAATTCACAAAAGACTCACCGGGACTAGAGATCTTCCAATTGGCAATAGGACTTGAGGTCGACGAAGCTGTATCGGACAAAGTCTCTGGAGACTTTTGATGCTCGTCAAGAAACTTCTGGCTCATGGAATAACAAAGCTCAAGAGCAGGCAAAGTATTGCAGAGCTCAGGAATTTCATCATAGCTGAACCCAAAACCCAGGTCCAAACAGCCCCTAAGCTCCTCCAAATCCTCATCGGTCAAGCTCTTTGTCCTCCCCAGCTCATCTTCATCTGCTGTCTCAACATACCCTTCAAGAAAGACTTGGTTTTTCTTCTTGTTGGTCTTATTTTTGAGCCATGGATCATCATTCTTGGACGACCCAGTTGATGGGTTGGTGATAGTTTCCTCTGAAAGTTCAAGAGTTTCAAGCTCTGGGTTTGGGTCATCTGGGGTNAAAAAAATCTTGTTGCCTAGACAGAGATGAAGCAATAAAAAAAAAATTGACTCAATTAATTTTAAGTCATCTTGGACAATCAAATTAATTAAATGGCATGCACATTTTACATGAAACAATTCACCACTCAAAGTAGGATGTAAATTATTTTTAAACATGTCTATTGCAGCATTATTAGTAGAATGAATATTAAAAGTAATACTAAAAAGTTTATCAACAACTCCATATTCTCTAAGTACACCCATAATACATTAAAATATATGAGAAGCAGTATGAGAATATTCTACCAGACGAAAAGCTACTTGAATCAATAAAACGAGTTGTAACACAAATAAAATTTAGTTTATTGCGACCCTTCTATAAATTAGTAATCAATTTTTTTTTGTCATTTCATTAAAAACCTTTAAACAATCACTTCTAGTAGTATTTCTTCTTTTCTTTTTTCAAGTTCTAGTATTATTTCTAGAAACACTATAATAAGCAAAATTAAGATATGATTTAACAAAATTCTCATTTTACCCTGAGAGTATGAAAAAGTTGACAAACTACTTCCGGTTTGACTATGCTGGGTTTGAGTGCCACTATTGCAAGGTTCGTTTGACCTTTCGGGTAGATCATCAGTTTCGTTAAATTCACTAAATTTTAAATTCTCTAAGTCAAAATTTCTAGCTTCCATTTTTCAATTTAAAATAAGTAACTACAATTAAAACACATAATTAAATTAAAAAAAAATACATCAACCAAAGTTAAAGTAATTGAAGATGCAGATGCAAACTTGAAATTAAAGACATAGATGCAAACTTACAATTGAAGATGTAGATGCAAACTTACAATTGAAGATGTAGATGCAAACTTGTAATTGAATATGTAGATGTAAACTAATAATTGTAAATGTTGATATAGTTGTAAATTACAACTTATACTTGTAACCTTTTAGATGTAAGGTAATTATAGAGAATTAAAAATATTTGATTTCAAATTTACCCTTCAAACTAGTTGATATATAGTTGTTAAGATGCGTAAAAATGACACATAGAAGCAAAAAAGTATAAATTCTAGACTTACCCCTTAAACTAGCCGTTATATAATTGTTGGGAGGGGGTAAAAATAGAATTTTGGACTAAATGACCGTTATTCGTGCTTATGTCCATGCCTAGAGCGTGCCCATGCCGTGCCAGCACAATTGGGCAAAAATCACAGGCCCGAGGTGGGTGCCCGTGCTTGGGCTGGCCCATTTTGAGTTTTGCCGTTATCACCTTTAACCGTGTCGTGGCCGTGCCCGTGCCAATTCCAGTCCGGCCCAATTTACACCTCTATGGGCAAGTACCATTGGCCCATTCTTATAAAGCAAATCAAAATACACCAATGTTGGTCTTACCAACTTGTTCCTTACCATGGTCATTGCATAATCACAATCATTGAATAACTAGTATGATTTCATAATCCAGAAATACATATGAGTTAGTACGAAAAAGTTGATAAAAAAGTTGGCCAGTGTCACATGCTTCAATCAGAAACACTGAAACTGAATGCACAACAATGTGCTATAATTGAAATCCTTGTTATTTAATTGGATAGCATTTCGACTGCAATTCACAAAGGCTGAGCACCCTTGGCACTCAGTCATGAATAATTGAAAGCAACTAGTCCCAATCGTTCATTTAAAGTGTTGGCTATCTGATCCCTTATGAGATAGAACTAAACCCAACTACTCACTCTGTCCCTCCCAGTGATTAGTTGCTTGGTCCCTAAGAATGAGGTGACTTGGCAAATTAGATGGCAGCAGTTAATAGTATGTTAATTGGCACTATCATTTTTATTAATGTAGGTAGACAAACAAAGTAGCCAGAAAAAATATTGGGGTCATGTTATGTCTAATCATACATAGTCAAGTTCATATCATATACAACTGTGTTCAATGAACTATTCACCAAGTGAAAATGGCAAGTCAATCCTAGTATAACCCGAGCTTATTAAAGATAAAGTTAGTCTTGACATATTCGTATTAATTTTGCATCTACTCAGTTGATCCTGTTAAAAGTTCTCACTTCTCAGGCATAACAAAAAGTGCTAAATCCTTTTTCCATGAAGTCATATTCCTAGCCTGTCGCAAAAACAACCTACAGTTTGATTCGACTTGCCTATGCATGAACATTTTACTAATATTAGGTTATTGAGAGGTATTACTGAAATCCCTAGCATGGATTTAACAAACAAAAAAAAAACCAACCAACTTAAATAGGCTGCATGAAAGGTTTATTTCGGGTCAAAACTAGCAACACAGTACCAAGAGGTCGACTATCCATTTTGCTCAATCAATCTATTAGTTGGTATGGTAAACGACTAAGTAGGATCCTTTGTCTTAGTGATTAGTGATTCAACATGGTATTAGAGCCTATAGATTTGGAGTTCAAATCACTTAAAACAAAAATATATAACTTTGATGGACCACCCAAGAGAAGCCATACTTTAAATTTTTGGAGTAAATGGTGGTTTAAAGTATTTACACAACATGGGTTGACGAGAGAGAGATGCACATTCGCGATGCATTTACAGGAGTTCTTCTAGCATGGAATTGCTCCTGGGCTTCTGCAAGAGTTATTATGACAGAGATGGTTTTGTTTCTACGTATCTATTACCAGGCCCACTGGTCAGCTATGATTTTCGTGCGCACCAGGTGACTACATGTACTCATGTGCGTTGCCTGGAGTAGCAACAAAAATAAAGCATCTAGGCTCCTTCATCATCAACAAAAAACCCTACAAAAATACTCA